CGTGACGTGATGACAGAGAAGTCAAGTCCGGCACCCCGCGGATGGCGGGCGGAAAGGGCGGAGTTTTCAATCGCATCTGCCGGATGAGCAGGACCGGCGGTAGGAGGCAGGACTGGGCAGGAAGTACTTGAGCGATGGCCCGCCGTCGTCCCCAGTCAACACATAATTCCTTTCCAAGTCCCTGCTTAGCACATAGTTTCGAAACTCTGGCACGATTACACGAAAATTTTCACCCTTGGGCTCCACATCGTCATTGACATCATAACTCGGATCAGCTACTATGGCTGCCTACGACCTGGTTGGGATGCGACGCTCTGGGCTTGTAATCGCCGCTGCACTGGCTCTTCTGCTCTCAGGTCAGCTCATCTCACCGAACCGTCATTCAATGTTGTCAGCTTATTGTTTTAGTACTTTTTAGGGTTGTCCCGGATCTGCACAAGTTTGTCTCATTGTCACACCGGGTTTGCACATACATGTCTGCACGTTTGCTTTCCCCATCCTCCCCTCCCATTTCTGCCAGGCTCTGCGCCCAGGGTTGCTTTTGCCATTCGCCTGCCATCTGCTACCAGCAACCAGTGCGCAGTGGGTTATGTGAAGGACGCAGAAGGCAACTGCGTTGGTGGGTGTTGTGAAATGCAACAACATTTGTCCGCTACGGCCTCATCTTGTACCTGCACGTCACCTTACAGCTTCAACATATGATACGGCATTTGATCTATCATAGATGATGTCTGTGCTCTAGCATTTTCCTACCATGCCGCGAATGACATTCTGCACGGCCGTTTCAGCTCCCATATGCTTACGATCCCACGTGCCTGTGTCTGACCCCCACGTGCCTGGCCCCCCACGTGCCTGAGTGCAGACTCGTGCACGGTACGCAACTGCGGCACCAACGCGACGTGCGTGAAGAGCCAGGCGGGCTGGGCGGACTGCGTGTGCGGCAGGGGCTTCAAGCTGCTGCCCGATGCGTCCTGCGCTCGTGAGTTGGCTCCACCCACCCTTTGCGCTTCCTATATCCGCTGCTGCCCAAAGTCGGCTCCACCCACCATTTTTACATGACATAATGGTGCCATTGCTGTCATTGCTGTCATTGCTGCCTCTTGTTCGAGCCATCTCGGTGCCATTGTAACGAGGTGACTTTTGAGTCGACTCAAAGTCACCTCTTTTCATATCCGCGGCTGCTCACAGTCGGATCCACCCACCATTTTTACATGACATAATGGTGCCATTGCTGTCATTGCTGTCATTGCTGTCATTGCTGCCTCTTTTACATGACATAATGGTGCCATTGCTGTCATTGCTGCCTCTTTTACATGACATTGGTGTCATTGCTGTCATTGCTGCCTCTTTTACATGACATTGGTGTCATTGCTGTCATTGCTGCCTCTTTACATGACATTGGTGTCATTGCTGTCATTGCTGCCTCTCGTTCGAGCCATCTTGGTCAAATCCAGGCCTGTCAGCATGCTGTGGTGTGGTCACTCCAACATCCTTATTTCACTATCCCGCTGCTTACTCTGCTGTCCACCCCTCTCGTGCTGAACTCGGCAAAGCTGTGTACGGTCGAGGATTGTGGAGAGAACGGGTACTGTGAAGAGAACCAGGGACTCTCCTCCTGCCATTGCAACACTGGGTTTAACAAGACCGCGGACGGCTGTGTTGGTGAGTGCTGCTTATCCGTGCTGTACTGATAAGTCGCGCTCTGATTTTATCCTTATGGCTCTGCTGGATTCTAATGTTTGCTGTCCCTTTCGACTCATCCCTTCCCAGATACATGTGTGCTCCAGGCGTGTGGTGAGAATGGCATGTGCGTTAAGGACGCAAAGGGGGCGGCATCGTGTGTTTGTGACCCTGGCTTCGGGCTGGAGAAGGATGGCAGGACATGCACAGGTAGCTGTGTGCTGCTGCTGTGTACTGATAAATCGCTGTGATTTGATCCCTATGGCACTGCTGGGTTCTAATGTTTGTCGTCCCCGTTGGTTCTTCCCTCACCAGATACGTGTGTGCTCCAGGCGTGTGCTGGAAACGGCCAGTGCATCAAGGACGCGGAGGGGGTGGCGTCCTGTGTTTGTGACCAAGGCTTTGGGCTTGGGGCAGATGGCAAGACATGCACAGGTAGTAATTTGCTGTGTGTTGCTGCTGATGTGCCGTGCTGCGTGCTACTGCTGCTGCCGTGTGCTGGTTTTGAAAGCTGCTACTGCTATTTACTATGCATTAAGCCCTAGCTGCTGGTGCCTAATGCGTGCGTCCTGTGTTCGTGAGTTCGCTGTCTGTCACTTCAACTGGGTCTACGCCATGACTGAGAACGGCTGTGCTGGTCAGTGTTGTGCTGCAACTCGTGAACAATGTTTCTGCTGAGGATGCTCTTTGTGCGCTGCAGAATGATGGCATGGCGTGGGCAGGTAAGGCTGTTGCGTGATACCACGATTGCATGCTCTGCTGAGTCCAAATGCTTCTCGTTCTTTGCTCTTTTTCCTCGGCAATCTGCACTTTTTGTTCCGGTGGCTTCGCTCTCATCTGGCAGAGACATGCATACTGCGAGCGTGTGGTGCAAACGGCCACTGTGTGAAGGACGCGTTGGGCGAGGCGTCTTGTGTTTGTGACATTGGCTTCACGCTGCAGAGAGATGGCAGGACGTGCACCGGTAAGGATGCTGTGCGTTGCTGTGTGTTTATGTGTGCTTTCGTGTCCTTGTGTGTTGTGCTGCTCTACGTTTCCTTCCGTGTGCTCTAACCCTGTCCCTCCCTCTCGAACCTTTCCTTCGGTGTGCCTCTCCCTCTCCCTCTCCCTCTCCCACTGCGTCTCCCTCTACCACACTAACTCTCCCTTCCTCCATCTATACCTTCCCTCTCCCTCTAATTGTCCACTCCCTCTCCCTTTATCCCTCCCTCTTGCTCATGCTCTCTCTTTCTCGTCCTTCTACCCTCTCCACCTTGGGCAAGCCTGCATCTGTGCATCCTCTCCGCATTCCCCGCTGTCACTCTCCTTCTCTGGATCCACACAGTGCCCCACACTCGATGGTAAACTCCCCTCCCCCCCGTGTTCTCCCCCTCTTCTCCCCCAGATAGTTGCATTCTTAAGGGGTGTGATTCATACACGCAGGATTGTCGAAAATATGAAAATGGCGTTGCATACTGTCAATGCAAGGCAGGTTACACAAAGCTCTATGGCGAATGCGTTGGTATGTAATGTTTTCTCACCTTTACTGAAACCTTCCCCCAACCCCCCCCCCTCCCCCCCCCTCCCCCCATCCTCCCCCCCCCCCGACCCATCTCCCCCTCCCCTCCCCCTCCAACTCTTTTCCCCCTCTCACTCTCTCCTCCTATCCCTCTCGCACTTTTCTCTCGTCCTCTCTCATTTCGCCCCCATGCAATGCTATGTTCGTTTTAACTGTCCCACGTGTATTCCCACGATATACCAGCACAATGTGCTGCTTTGTCCTGTCCTATGCGTTTGCCTGCTGTCATCTATCAAGCTGTTGCACGGTTACACCAAGCTTTTCCCGTTCTACTCCACATGCTCTCCTATTGCACTAACATATTCCCACCTTTTCTCTACCCTACTCACCAGGACCTGCTACTTGCGGGAACTGTCCAGCAAGGGCCACATGCACTCGTCTCGGCTACCAAAAAGGCTCCTTACTGTGTCTGCTCCAGTGGCGATGGCATGACCAGCAAGGGTTGCATCTATAGTAAGCCAATGATACGCATTTGAGGTTAATCAGCATGCAGGTTCAACCACTTGTGCTCACATGGGTTTATTGATGCTACCTCATCCTTATCTCCATACTCCATGCCAAACCCCATGTGGAATACCATACCCTGATTTTTCATTCTCCCACATTCTGTTTGCTTCCAGGAGCCGCCCCAACTGTCTCCTCTGCAAGTTTCACCTTCTACGCCACGCCCAATTATAAGTTCTCCTCATCTACCTACACCACGCGCTTGAACTACAGCGCATGCACCAATGTGCCTAAGATAATTGGTTCCCGTTTCCGTTCATGCTGGCGAGTGGACCATGCACCCGGAGGAGCTGGTGATTGCAAGAGAATCTATGTGTACGGCAGTGCAAACTGCCTTGGAAGGGCGACTCAGCTCTCTTACCTGTCCCTGACCAGAATCACTGCAGTGGGTGTCCCGTAAGTCATACACAAAACAAGCAGAAAGATTTTCATTCTCGCTTCGTTTCATATTTCCTAATGTTTCTTGTTTATAGAACCTGTTTTATCCTGTGAAACCCCCAGTTCTCAAGTTCTCTCATGTTTCCCTGCATCTACACGCTTCGTTATTTACCACCCACAGGCATGCACACGGTGGCATTCTATCCTTGAAGTGTGTCCACTAATCCTTACACTTGTGGAGTTGCTTATATGAAGATCAGCAATTCAATGCTCCAATTCTAAGTGATACTTCTTTTGAAGACTAAAGGACAGTCCCTGTGTCTGCTATTTAACGAATTGCTCTAGACAGGCTTGATGCGGCCAGGGAAGGGAGCAATGGGGGTCAAAGTACTATCAAGAATGTTGTCGTCTCCATCTCTCGGTTCTCCTCCATTTTCTCCCCTCTCATTCCCAAGCATGTGTGTGTGTTTGTCAGTGTGTGTGGTGTGTGTGTGTGTGTGTGACTGTGTGTGAATGCATGCGTGACCATGTGTGTGTGTAAGTGCGCATGTGCACATAATTACCAATTTCAAGGGAACTTGTGCTAGTTATTTCAAGGGAACTTGAATACTAGTACCGTACTGTATTACCTCCATAATTTCCTCAAATATTATAACAGATGTCTACAATCATAGTCTCCTGAGGTTTTGCATGAACAAAACATATCAAGCCTGGCAGAAAACGATTGGAGTGTTTTGAAGTTTGTGCTGATGTATGGCAGGTCATGCTTTTTTGTTCTAGGTTCGTAATGAATGGTTCGTCTTGGTGCGCAGTGGTTTCAAGCGGTGAGCTGCTAGCCAATCACTGCCTCTGCATAACATCAAAGAACGCTGCTAGCCAATTACTGCCTCTGAATGCCACCAAGGAACGCTGCTGGGTCAGGGCAGGATCCTGTCAGCTCTGCACCCGAGAAGTCAAACCCCGGATTCTGTATTGCAGGGGGTGGGCAACAACACAGAGGGCGCAAAACGAACCAGTGAAATTTAAAGCCAAGCCATCCTGTCAGCTCTGCACCCGAGAAGTCAAACCCGTGATTCTGTATTGCAGGGGGTGCGAAACAACACAGAGGGCACAAAAAGAGCCGGTGTAGTTAAAAGCCAAGCCATCCTGTGAGCTCTGCACCCGAGAAGTCAAACCCCCGATTCTGCAATGCGTGGGGAGTGGGGAACAACACAGAGGGCACAAAACGAACCAGCAAAACTTAAAGCCAAGCCAAGCCATCCTGTGAGCTCTGCACCAGAGATGTCAAACCCGGGATTCTGCAATGCAGGGGGTGAGAAACAACACAGAGAAACAACAACGCATCAACGCTGTGCCCCTTGATTGCACCTGGACTGTGCCTCGTGCCTGTGCCAACTAGCCTCTGCCCACCCACCTTGATCTGAAACCGCTCCAGCAAGAGTCGTCTCGACTCCTGGTCCGCAGAGAAAGCATCAAGAGTGTGCCTGGTGTGCCTACTTATGTTTCAACCCAAGCCCCCCACCCACCTCGATCTGAAACCGCTCCAGCATGAGTCGTCTGGACCCCTGGTCCGCAGAGAACGAACCGAGACTGTGCCCTGTGATTGCACCCATACGCCTCTTTTCTGAAAGCGCTCTGGTGCCTATGTCCCAAGCCGTCTCTATCTGAAACGCTCCCACCCACCTCCATCTGAAACCGCTCCAGCATGAGCCGTCTCGACTCCTGGTCCACAGAAAAGGCATCAAAAGTGTGCCCTGTGATTGCACCTATTTGCCTCTTTCTGAAAGCGCTCTAGTGCCTATGTCCCAAGCCGTCTCTATCTGAAATGCTTCCACTCCACACACCCACCTCTATATGAAACCGCTCCAGCATGAGCCGTCTCGACTCCTGGTCCGCAGAGAAAGCATCCAAAGTGTGCCCTTTAATGGCGCCCGGCCATGGCTTGCCTCGTTCGGCCTTTTGCAACGAGATGTGGAGCTCGGCGCCCTCTGTGGGATGCGGAAATGCAGGGGGGGGTGTGATTAGCATGCAACGCTTTCATCAGCCTTTTGGAATGAAATGTGGAGCTCAGAGCGGTGTGTGGGATGAAGAGAGGTGGCGAGAAGATGAGGAGAAAGCATCTAGACTGCCCTTTGATTGCACCGCCCGGCCATGGCTTGCCTCGTTCGGCCTTTTGCAACGAGATGTGAAGGTCAGCGCCCTCTGCTGAATGGAAAGAGGCGAAGAGACGAGAAGGAGAGAGCATCTAGACTGTGCCCTTTGATTGCACCGCCCGGCCATGGCTTGCCTCGTTCGGCCTTTTGCAACGAGATGTGAAGGTCAGCGCCCTCTGCTGAATGGAAAGAGGCGAAGAGACGAGAAGGAGAGAGCATCTAGACTGTGCCCTTTGATTGCACCGCCCGGCCATGGCTTTCCTCGTTCTGCTTTTTGCAACGAGATGTGAAGCTCAGCGCCCTCTGTGGGGTGCGGCAATGCAGGGGGGGTTGTGATTGGCATGCAAAGCTTTCATCAGCCTTTTGGAATGAAATGTGGAGCTCAGGTGACTTTTGGGTCGACTCAAAATGACTTTTGACTTTTGAGTCGACTCAAAAGTCACTTCATCAGCCTTTTGGAATGAGATGCGGAGCTGCGGCCCTTTGATTGCACCGCCCGGCCACGGCTTGCCTCTCTGTGGGATGCAAAGAGGCGAAGACGGGGAGAAGGCATGCGAAGAGGTAGGGGAGAAGGACAGAAGTAAACAGGTAAGGGAGACGAGGAAAGGGCATGCAAAGACGGGAGATGAGGAGGAAACATCCAGACTGTTCCCTTTGATTGCACCGCCCTGTCATGGCTTGCCTCGTTCTGCTTTTTGCAACGAGATGTGGAGCTCATTGCCCTCTGTGGGATGCGGAAATGCAGGTGGGGGTGTGTGTGATTGGCATGCAAGCCTTTTGGAATGAAATGTGGAGCTCAGAGCGGTCAGTGGGATGAAGAGAGGTGGCGAGAAGAGAAGGAGAAAGCATCCAGACTGTGCCTTCAGATTGCACCGCCCGGCCACGGCTTGTCCCTCTTGGCCTTTTGCAACGAAATGGAGAACGCAAAGAGGCGAAGACGGGGAGAAGGCATGCGAAGAGGTAAGGGAGAAGAACAGAAGTAAACAGGTAGGGGAGACGAGGAAAGGGCATCCAAAGACGGGAGATGAGGAGGAAACATGCAGACTGTGCCCCTTGATTGCGCCTGGCCACGGCTTGCCCCGCGGCCTTTTGCAGTGAAAAGTGGAGCTCAGTGCCCTCTGGCATGTGCCAATGCAGGGAGGAGTGGAAAGGCATGCAAGTTGGTAACGCTTTTGCTCTTTGCAACGAGATGTGGAGCTCTGTGGGTCGTGAGAATGCAGGGAGAAGTGGGAATGGCATGCGAATTAGGGCTTTCTGGGGCTTTTTGCAACAATATGTGGAGCTCAGTGCCCTCTGTGAGATGCAAACGGGCATCTCACAGAGAAGAGGAGAAGGCATGCAAACATGGAAAGACGAGGATGAAAAGTCATCCAGACCCGTTAATTGCCCGAAGCTCCGGGCTACCTCACTCATCTTGTGAAAGGAGGAACTGAGGCGCAAAGGGAAACTTCGTATCATGCAAACCCTAATGAGCACAGGTATGGAAAAACAACTCTACTTATCAATGCAAGAAGACCATATCAGAGTGTGCCAACAGAACGGAAAGAAACAATCTGATATGTGATGATATCTGAAGTGAAAGAGGGAAAACTATTCAGAGTGTGCGATCTGGAGCTGCGACTCACCAATAGTTCAGAAGCCGTCGTCCACCTTCACAGCCCCTGCTAGGTTGCAAAAAATCGGCTCCATTTACGTGTGAAATGGAGAAGGGGGAGAGGATTTGCAACTCACCAATGGTCCAAAAAGATGCCGTCAACCTTCACAGACCCAGCTAGACTGTGAGAAACTCAATTCAACACACGTGTGAGATGGAGAAGGGGGAGAATAGCTCCTACTCACCAATGGTCCAGAAGCTGTCGTCCACCTTCACAGCCCCGGCCAGGTCGTGCTGTCAGCAAGCCACGTGGTCAAGAGAGAGATAGGCAGAAAGACGAGGGAGAGAGAGGGTGAGAGGAGGTGCCTCTAAGGTGAATCAGAAGCTGTCGTCCACCTTCACAGCCCCGGCCAGGTCGTGCTGTCAGCCAGCCATGTGGGCAAAGAGCAAGGCAGAGGATGTGAGAGGGTAAGCAAGGAAGGGTACTGCAGTCCTTTTTCCAAAAGAAACAGAAAACACACTTTGAAGGACCGAGGCAGGCATAGAACCCTCCTTAAGAACGAAAACACAACCATGCAGTGTGATGCTCCTAGTTATTATCACCGCATGATTCCTCACTGTGACGTTTGGTAATCAGTCACAATCTCACACCCATCTCATGCGACCACGCGATGTGGATCTGCCATCAGACACCATACCATAATCCGCCCAGGCAGCTTATCAGACACCACACCCATCAGATGGCCACGCAGATAGGTGATGTGCCGTTGCGATCTTTCGTGTAAGGGGGGTTTAAGAAACATACATCCAAGTAAGGGGGGTTGCCCTTGATGCCGACCGTGATGTGCCGTTGCGATATTTGGCATGTGAACAGTTTTGCGGGCACTCCTTCGGGCAGCGGGACGAAAATCTCTATCTCGTCAACTGTCTGGTCCCACTCATAGACGGTTTGGCCTGTGGGGTGTCAAGAACGGGAGGGAGAATCGTAAAGGAATATAAGGAAGACAAATAGGACCCCTGAGACCTAAAATCCTAGGAGACTCGTGGAATAAGCTCGTGCTTTTCTTCACAAGGAGAACCACCCCCTTGGTCCCACTCATAGACGGTTTGGCCTGTGGGGTCAAGAACGGGAGGGAGAATTCACAGAGGTGTGTGAGGAAGACGCAAAGCCGGAAACTTACGCTTTTCTCCACAAAAGCAACCGCTCTGATCCACTCATGCACGGAACGGTCTGCGGGGAGGAGGGAGTGATTGAAAGGAGAAGGAAAAAGCATGCAATCTCTGGTCTGAACATGCAAAGCGCACTCACTGGACTTGAACCTGACTGCTGAGACGTCACAAAAACCGTCAGCAGCTCGCCTCTTCCAAAGCAACATCCAAAGTAGTTGGATAAAAAACGCTATGTATCTCACCGTTGTGAACGAACTTGAACCGTTTGTCTGGAGCGAGCCTGTGCTGCTGGTAATGCTGTCGCTTAGGGTGATGCTGCTGCTGATGGTAACGCGGCGCTACTAACGCTCTTGCTCTATGCTTCATCTCCACACCTCACTGTCTCACCGTTGTGAACGAACTTGAACCGCTTGTCCGGAGCGAGCCTGTCCGACATGGCATCGACTGCAGCTGATACTGCTGCTGCTGATTCTGGTGATAGTGCTGGTAGTGATGCCGCTGCTGATGGTAATGCTGTGATGCTGTTGCTAAGCCAACGAATCGTCACTACTAGCAATGATCATCTTCGTTACAATAGCGCGCGAATTTAATTGCTATGAAAATCGCATTTCCGCATGTTACGTAAGCTGCAAACCTATGAAACGAGAGTGCGACGTGGCTACGAAATGTAACCGCGAACCTATGTTAGTGCTAACTTGCTACGAACTAGCATCCGCACCCGCCGCTGAACCCGTACGAGTGATCAGTCGCTGTCTGCACGCTAACTGGCCAGCGAATAAAGCCTGGAATGCAAGAGCTCGCCAAAATTCGAAAATTTTCCAGAAAATATGTGGGATGGGAAGTAACACGAGGAATGGCTGAAAAGGGAGTTGGAAAGCGCAGAGCAGTTGTGTTCTAAAATCCATGATAGTGGGAGCACGCGGTACAGGTAACATTCATTTGAAGTTTGTCAAACCCATTATATTCTGTATGCATACACTATGTGCCGAGCAGCTTCATACCACAAGTGCTGACTATGCACTATTGCGAATTAAAACACCAACTCCACGTTTTGGTAGAAACAGCCACGCATGTATCAAACAGCGAGGACGGTATGAAAGAAAATCCTCATTTTGATAACCCTCAAAACAGAACTGCCTAGAATATCAAGGAATGTACGCACATCTTTGGCACACATACTGGTACCACAAGCACTATACATGCGTTCTGTTCTGAAAGAAAAGCAAGCACACTTTAGCGATCTCCTATTAGGAAAAATGGACATAGACAAGACAATACATGTTTGATGTAGGTAGGTAGGTAGAGAAAGAGGGGCTACCCCTTAATGTACAGAGGGCAGGGCGCACCCTCCATCTTCCTAGTGCCACTGCAGTAGTCACACACAGAGGCAGCTCTACACCTGGGTCGTATCAAAGAACAAAGGGACAAAACAGTGGAAGGTGGGAGCGGTTAAGTCTCACACCTCCTACAGTGCTTGCATCCAACACTCTGGTCTGCTTGTGGTTGGAAGACATGAGATTCTTGGCAGCTTAAGAACAAGCCTTGATGCCACTTCAGGCAGCTACAGTTTTATCTACCCCTCCCCATTATATCCTTCCCTCGTCCATCCCGCTACACCTCCACCCCCCCTCCCCATCCACCCTCTTTCCTTCATCCCTCTAAGCCTTCCCCCACCCTATTCCCCTCTCTCGTACCTCTCCACTCTCCTCTTCTCACCTTGTTGGTTCTCCGACGCAGCTTCGTCAGCTGGTCTTTAATCTTCGCTGCATCGCCGTACCGCTCGTGCTGTGCTGCTTCCTCCATCAGCTTCACCAGCGCAAACTCGTCCGCCGGTGACAGGTCCTCGAGATCGGGTCTGCGGAGAGCGGAATGAGCCAGAGCGGGGACGGGGGCGGGAGGGGAGATAAAGGGAGCGGGTGCAGAATTGGTTGGACTGGTCGGGGCTGAGCTGCTTCCTCCATCAGCGCAAACTCGTCCGCCGGTGACAAGTCCCCGAGATCGGGTCTGGGGGTGAAGGAATGGGGAGAGGGAGAGTTAGCAACAAAAACAAAAACAGAGAGGGTGCAGAGTTGGTTGCACTGATTGGTGCTGTGCTGCTTCCTCCATCCGCCTCACCAGCGCGAACTCATCTGCAAATGGATCGGATATGAGGAGAGGGGGAGGGGGAGCGAATGAGGAGAGGGGGAGAAAGAGAGAGACAGAAAGAAATGAAGGAGTGGTAGGCATAGAGGGCACTGACCTGACTGACTCTCTACCACCTGCACCATCCCCACACAATTTGCACTGATCCTACCACACACAACTCCTGAGCCTATCAATTTCTTGCCTCTCATTCTCATGTTAAAGCAGCACCTTATGATCTGACGTCAGCATGCCACCACTCACTTGTCCTCTGACGTCAGCACCACTCTCTGCTGCCGTCTCAGCAGCCGCCCGCCATGCCCAGGTGCCACTGCCGACCGCACCATCCCCACTATCCGCACTCCGTCCGCCACCGCCAGAGACTTCCGCACCTGAATGGGCACCTGAAACAACAGAGGCACACCTGAATAAGCACCCTGCTGAGAGGAGCGAGAAAAAGCTGGAAGCCTGAACGCCTGCAAGCCTGTGGTCAAGCTAAGAAAGACCTGCCCCTGCCCCCTGTTCCTGCTGCCCTTCCCCTGCCCCTGCCCCCCGCCCATGCGCCCTATCCCAGTCCCCCAACCCAAGCCCCTGTCCCTACCCCTTTTCCCCCCCTTGCGCCCTGCCCCCCAGTCCCTGCCCCCCGCCCATACAAGGCGAGAATCTGCCCATACCACAGCCAGTTCAGTAACTGCGCTTTCGATTCGTCTCTGGTTCAGAATCTCGCATTTCATGTTACAATGCAACAGCCACACACCTTGGCACGTGCTGCTAGGTAGATGGCGTCTGACGGCTGCACGTCTAGCCAGTGCTGCTGGCTGTGTTGCTACTGGTGTTGGTGGCTAGGGAAATGCCAAGATGACTTGGTACACTCACGCTTAGATACGATCACACTCGTCTTTCTACAGTCACACACCTTGGCGCGTGCTGCTAGGTTGATTGCGTCAGATGGCCGCATGTCCAGACTCATCATTGCAGGCCCGCTGCTGCTGCCAGTGGCTGTGCTACTATCAGAAGGAACCTGTTGCAAGAGGGGGTGGAATGGGAGTTGAGGGAAAGTGGAAAGATCCAAATCAGCTTTAGATGGTTGCATTGCATGTCCAGGCTTATCATGGCAGGCACACTGCTGCTGATGGTGCTGCTCCGGCTGCTGGCTGTGTTACTGTGTCAGTTAGTACTGTCAGCAAGCAATGATGATCTATGAGGCCCTGGAGAAGCTGCGCGCACCAATGGGCGATGCGCACCAGATTGAACTCTAGCCTTAGAAAACGCGGACTGACCTTGGAAAGATAGGCTCGGGCGCAGTATGCATCCCCGTCTCGATGGGTGATGCGAATCAAACTGATCTGCAGTTAGGAACAGGGGGGCGGGGGGAGGGGCGGACGGACGTGAAAGCTTCAGTTTGTGGTGGAGAAAAAAAAAAAAAAAAAAAAAAAAAAAAGGAAAGCAGCAGCTAAGCCTGTTGGGTTGGATTTGTGAACTACATTAGCATTTGACAGTTAGAGCAGCGGTGAACCATTTCACATCCCATCCTCATGGCCCATATCTCAACAACATTTTACCTAACATACCATAGTGTCGCCTGATAATAACATCTCACCACCTCACCTCATATCCCATCAACTCGATCATATCTCGCATTAGCATGTACACCGTTGGCCGAGCCTGCCACGTCAGCATAGCACAACACAAACACACAAGAAGCACTGTAAGAGTTTCGTTCTTGCAAACAAATAGGACTCCATGCCTCGTGAAATGAACTCTGCTTAGAGATTAGAATCACCATAGGAGCTCATCATTACCACGTGGTTTGCAACAGACGGATTGCGTGCATGTTAATCACACTTCTTTTACAGTCACGCCTTGAACCATCGTTAGAAGCTAAACCATCGTTTCGATATAAGCACTTTCAGGTTTCAACCAAAAGTCTTACCAGAATCAAAACCACCAACTTTCTTAAACCACTCTCAACTCTACATTCAATATAATAACACAGTTTAGAGCCACTAGAGGAACCGTCAACTCACCAGAGGCACGCCGCGCACCGAGTCAATGAGCATTTGGCTCGAGAGGTGCGCTGCAGATGGGGGGACGGGGAAGGAACGGAGGGGGGAAATGAGGGAGGGAGGGGGGAGGAAAGGGGGGGGAAGGGGAGGAGGGGGGTAAGACACTGAGTCAATGAGCATTTGGCTCGATAGGTGCGCTGCAGGAAGCGATCAGGGGAGAGAGAGGGGAAGGGGGCGGGAAGGGGGAAGGAAAAGGTGACCTCAGAGTTGATGCACGCCTGAATGGAGAGGCGTGCTGCTGATAAGTAGAGAACAGGAAGAAGACGGGCTTGAGTTTCAGAATGACGGCGGGATGAGCAAATTTGAGTCGGCTCAGAATCGCTCCAGACAAGACACTTACGAATGAGAATAGGGAGCAGTATGCGGCTGCCGTCCTCAAGTTTAAGTACGGCCGCCGGCTGCGCGGGGTATTCGGGGAGGCGCACCCCGTCCATGAGGTTGTGCGAGCACTTGAAGGAGATGCCGTCCGTCATGCCGATTAAAAGCGCGTCGCCGCTGCTGCTGACACTCGCTGCACAGTTGTGGGGGAAAGGGGGTGGGCGGCAAAGCGGGGAGGGGGGTCGGGGAAGAGGAATGGAGAAAAGTGAGTAATGGGGAAGGTAGGGAGGCGAACCCCGTCCATGAGGTTGTGGGAATGCAGCTCAGCTTGGGAATGCAGCTCAGCTTGGGAATGCAGATTGGCAATGCAGGTCAGCGTGGGAATGCAGGTCAGATTGGGAATGCAGCTCTCGTTCCTGTCCGTTCCCTCCCAGTGTGCCTCTCCAGCTCTCGTCCCCCCTGCTGGGGGGAACAGGAGGTCCGGTCCCCCCCGACCTCCTGTTCCCCCCGGCTTCCCTCCCTCACGTGCTAGCAGGGCGTGCGAGAGCCTGGTGGGGGGAGGCGAGGAGGGCGAGGTGGAGGGTGAGAAAACCAACGCGCCTCTTGCTCCTTTACCTTTCCTTGTGCTTCCTGTCCGTCTCTCTTCCCCTCCTTGTCCCCCTCTCCTTTCCCTGCCTCTTTGTGCTCCCCTCTCCCTGGGGCAAGCAGGGCGTGCGAGAACCTGGTGGGGGGCGGGGAGGAGGAGGACGAGGTGGGAAGTGTAGTGAAGCCTTATACCCCCTCCCTTTCTACTCCATCGTCATGTGCTCCCTGTCTCCTCTCTTCCCGCTTTTACTCTCCCTGGGGTGATGCAGGGCGTGCGAGAACCTGGTGGGAGGAGGTGAGGAGGACGAAGTGGAGGGTGAGAAAACCAACGTGCCCCTCACTCCCTACCCTCTCCCTATGCCCCCCGTCGCCCTCTCTTCCACCTCTCTTCCCCCCTGCAGGGCGTGCGAGAACCTGGTGGGGGGCGGTGAGGAGGACGAGGTGGAGGTGGAGAAGAGTAATGTGCTGCTCATGGGACCCACGGGGTCAGGTGGTTTAAAGAATCACCAATGCAGCATACGGGGCCGGGCCGCATGCGATGGGAGCAGCGGATTAGCATAGGGTGGTATGGCAGTGCACTCATGGGACGAGGTGGAGGTGGAGAAGAGTAAGGTTTTGCTCATGGGACCCACGGGGTCAGGTGGGTGCATGAGCATAGCACCCACACACAGCATTCATGCAGCATCGGGTTCAGGTGGGTGGCGTAGCATGCGAGCAGAGCAGCACTCCTGTGCCTCTTATGGAACGAGGTGCAGGTGGAGAAGAGCAACGTGCTGCTGATGGGACCCACCGGGTCAGGTGGGTTAAACGGTTTACAGGCAGCATAGGGGTTCAGTTCAGCTGCGTGAAATAGCATGCAACAATCCATCCTCTGCCGCCCTGCACTGGTGTGTGCAGGCAAGACCCTACTTGGTTCTGAGGTGCTTCAAAACTCCCCGTTCTCTGCTGTTAAGATATTCCATCCTCTGCTGCACACGCACTGCCCCATGCGTGCAGGCAAGACGCTGCTGGCCAAGACTCTGGCTCGGTTTGTCAACGTGCCGTTCGCCATTGCTGATGCCACCACTCTCACCCAGGTGCGCCGCATGCCATGCCACCTCATGACTTTCTTCTGCGCATATATCCTTCTACTACCACTGACTTTTGAGTCGACTCAAAAGACTTTTGAGTTGACTTTTGAGTCGACTCAAATGCCATGCCACCTCATGACTTTCTTCTGCGCATATCCTTCTACTGATTCTTCTTCTTGAACCGTTTCACATTACCTCTTCTGCGCCTGTTGCTTGCTGTTCCGGTGCTGTTCGCTTGGCAGGCGGGGTATGTGGGCGAGGATGTGGAGATGATTCTCTATAAGCTGCTGCAGGTGAGGGATGGAAGGGGTTGTTGGGGTTGGGAAAGGGGGTTGGAGTGGGGGGGGAGGGGGGGGGGTTGTTAGTGCTTCTGCTTGTCGTGCAAGTGGGGTATGTGGGTGATGACTTGGAAATGATCCTGTATAAGCTGCTGCAGGTGAGGGGAGCGGTTTATTGAAGTGAGGGGGTTTTGTTGTTTGAGGTGAAGGTTTTTTTTTCTGCTGGAAACATCATTGCAACGGTGGGCATGATTGCCATGCCATGCAGGATGGCTTCAAGTGTTGCTTTTCCTGTGCTTGGCGTTTCAAATGCTTTGAACATTGTTGTTGGTTAATTCAGTCGAGCCACAGGGCACAACTGTGGGATGCTGGGTACAGTCAGAACCCCTTTACTCTTTGTAACCCTGCCCAAATCCACCCTCGTCCGACTCTCCTCCCTCCATCCCGCCTCCCTTCCCCGTTCCTCTTTTCTTCCTCCCCCATCTCTCTCTCCTTCCTGTCTCCGCCTTCCCTCCCTCCTCCCTTTCAATAATTCTCCACGGTGTGTGATTCTGTGTGTGTGTGTGATTTCCACGGTGGTATTTGCGTGCGAATGTGTCTGTTTTTCTTACGCAGAGCGCCAACTTCAGTGTGTCAGCAGCGCAGCAGGGCATCGTGTATATCGATGAAATTGACAAGCTCACCAAGAAGGTAGGCTTGCGACTAGCAGCACTAGCAGCACTGGCACTAGGTGACGGGCACTTGGTGATGGGCAATAGGTGACGGGCACTTGGTGATGGGCAATAGGTGACGGGCACTTGGTGATGGGCAATAGGTGACGGGCACTTGGTGATGGGCAATAGGTGACGGGCACTTGGTGATGGGCAATAGGTGACGGGCACTTGGTGATGGGCAATAGGTGACGGGCACTTGGTGATGGGCAATAGGTGACGGGCACTTGGTGATGGGCAATAGGTGACGGGCACTTGGTGATGGGCACTAGGTGATGGGCACTAGGTGATGGGCACTTGGTGATGCACCCCCCCACTAAAGCAGCAGCGCAGCAGGGCATCGTGTATATCGACGAGATTGACAAGCTCACCAAGAAGGTGGGCTCGCTAGCAGCACTAGCGGCACGGGCACTAGGTGATGCACCCCCCTACTAAAGCAGCTGCACAATAGGGCATTGTGTATATCGACGAGATTGGCAAGCTCACCAAGAAGGTGGGCGTGAGCGCAATAGCGGCAGCCTGCAGTGCACTCTCACTAGGTGTTGCCCCCCCTCCCCCACCAGAGCAGCAACGCAGCAGGGCATCGTGTATATTGATGAGATCGACAAGCTCACTGAAAAGGTAGGCTTGCTAGCAGCACTAGCGGCACGGGCACTAGGTGATGCACCCCCCCACTAAAGCAGCAGCACAGCAGGGCATTGTGTAGCAGCGCAGCAGGGCATATCTATATACACGATGCCCTGATGTTCTCAGCTTCTTGTGTATGTCGACGAGATTGAAAAGCCGACCAAGAAGGTGAGCGAGCGCGCTTATGCCAACCCTCAGAGCTCTCACTCACACACACATGGTGTGTGAGTGAGCTCTGTAACACCAGTACATTTGAGGCGTTTCAAAAGAGTTTTGTGTCGTCTCAAAAGAGTTTTGAGTCGTCTCAAAAGAGTTTTGAGTCGTCTTAAAAGAGTTTTGAGTCGTCTTAAAGCCCGCACACACGGCGAGTGAGTGAGCTCTGTAACACCACTAGCACCAGGCCGTTGTGTATATTTAAGGTAAATTGACGTTTTCTTTTTACCAATTGTGGGGGTGTAGCTCACATGGTAGAGCGATCGCTTTGCATGCGATAGGTACGGGGATCGATACCCCGCGTCTCCAGAGATCCACAGCTTTGCACACGTGCCCTTCCCCGCACCCCGCACATGATCAGTGTAAAGGTGAGCCACGTTATTTTGTTTCAACTCGAAACTAGGTGATTTGTCGTAAATGGCACCCACATACATAGCATCCAATGCTACGTGATTATAAAGCGCAATAGTGGAGTAGATTCTCCTCCGTAATGTGCTGCAAAGCCTTGTGTCTTTGAGTCGAGTCATAACATTTTCTCGTTGATCACTCTTGTGATATCAGTTCCATGTAATCTTCTCCTGACCAAATCTACCTCTCCAATCCCACTTCCCTCCTCCCTCATGCTCAAACTCCTCTCCTCATTTCACCTCGTCGCCTTTCTTCCTCCACATCTTTACGCTCTCCTTGCCTCCCCTTCATTACCGCACCCCCGATCCCTTGCGCTTTTTTGAATTGGCTTTGGTGGACTCTCACGAGAGTGCCTCTCCCCTTTCCTCGTCTCCTTCTAGCATCTTCTCCTCTTTTTGAGGCCTAAAAAATAGGCTTTTGGTGGACTCTCACGAAAGTGCCTCTCCTCTTTCTTCGTCTCCTTTATCCTCTTCTCCTCTTCCCTCCCCTCTTCTCATTCCCTCCCCCCATCACCATATCAAGCAGGGGTTACACTCACCTGTGGCCCCTTTCCCCTCCCGCCTTCCCTCACCTCTTCTCTCTTCCCCTCCCCTTCCTTTCTGACCCCCACCGTTCAGGCGGAGGGCATAACGAGCACAAGGGACGTGTCAGGAGAGGGCGTGCTGGAGTACCTTCTAATCAGAGGTGTTAATTTGATGCCTGTCTCTTCCCTCTCTTCTTCCCTCCTCCCCTTGTCACCACACAGGCGGAGGGCATCACGAGCACAAGAGACGTGTGAGGGCAGGGCGTGTTGAGGTGCCTGAAAGTGTCTTAACGGTGCCCCTCTCTCCCCACCCTGTGTGCCTGGACAGGCGGAGGGCATCACGAGCACAAGGGACGTGTCAGGGGAGGGCGTGCAGCAGGCGTTGTTGAGAATGCTGGAGGGCGCCGTGAGTAAAGAAGGGGAGAGGGGGGGGGGGGGGGGGGGGAGGGGGAGGTTATGGGGGTATGTGAGCAGAGGTTTGGAGGAGGCGAGATGGCAGGGACGTGTCAGGGGAGGGCGTGCAGCAGGCGTTGTTGAGAATGCTGGAGGGCGCTGTGAGAGGGGGAAGGTGGTGGGCTGTAAGGGGGTGTGTGAGTGTGGTGTGAAGGAGGGTGGGATGCGAGAGGCATGTCTATTGGCGTTTGAGGCGTGTCAAAGGGGGGCGTGCAGCAGGCCTTGTTGAGAATGCTGGAGGACGCTGTGAGTAGGAAATTGGGGCTTGAAGGCCTGCTGCACACCCCCCTTTGACACGTCTCAAACGCCCCTCTGAAGGCAGTTTAAGAATGCATGCGTGGGTCTCTCCCCCCCACATCCCCTGGGCGCAGGTGATTAATGTGCCGGAGAAGACAGGGAGGAAGAACCCAAGAGGCGAGTTCATACAGGTACAGGATTGCGGGTTGCAGGGGTAGGGGTTTGCGGTTTTGTGGGGGTAAGGGGTGCGGGGTAGGGGGGTTGCGGGAGTAGGGGGGTGCGGGGGTCAAGGGTACGGGGGTGCGAGGGTGCTGGGATGTGGGAATGCAGGGGTGACGGGCACAACAAAGACACCAGGGATCGATACCTGCTGCTGTTGTGCTTGATTGCTCATTGTACCTGAAACTCACGACGAGTATATCACACAAAACGAAATGCGTTTCTTTTCAATGGATAGCTATGTACATGCCCTTGTGTGCCTAGTGCCTCGCAGTTAATGCCTGCCGCCCCTTGCTCTGCTCCACCCCACCACCAGCCCAACACGCTCAACATTCTCCTCTCCTGCCCTCCGTCCCTACTGCCTGCCAGCCATTCCCCTCCCATGCCCCGTGCCCCATGACCGTTTCCCATGACCCATGTCCCATCACCATCTCTCATGCTCAATGCCCCATGCCTCTCCCCCATGTACCCCCCTGCCCTGACCACCAGCTGGACACACAAAACATTCTCTTCATCTGCCCTCACCTCTTCTGCCTGCCCCCTTGCTTTGCCGTCTTTTGCCTGCCCCCTTGCTTTGCTTTGCCTGCTGCCCCCCTTTGCTGCCCCCTTGCTTTGCCCCAAACTGCCCCTTTCTTTGCCCCACCCACCCCACCAGCTGGACACACAGAACATTCTCTTCATCTGTGGAGGGGCGTTTGTGGATCTTGAGAAGACGATTGCAGAGAGGTGAGGGGGGTGGTAGCAGAGGTGAGGAGAAGCAGAGAGGTGAGACGCAGTGCACGCTGCCAAATGTACTTTGCTTTCACCATGCGAAGCTAGTTGGTGTCGGAGCACCTGTGCGCACAGCACATCGCTGCAAGCCCTGCAAGCACACACGTCGACGTGCTCTTGCTTGCTGCATGTCTCGAATCCCTCAATTATCTCCCTTCTTGCAGGAAGCGCAAGTCATCCATCGGCTTCGGAGCGCCCGTGCGAGCATCTCTGCGCAACCGATCGGTGCTTGACGCCCGCACTGCCGGCTCGCTGCTGCAATCGGTGAGCTGAGGTTGTGAACGCAGTCGGTGCGTGCGTGCCCTTTTCACGTTATTCCCTCTTGCATGTTCACTGCTGCTCGCTCGTCATTTCTTTTCTGCTCTTCTTCATTCGTGCTCATTCCCAAGTTCTGTGCGGCAATTCGTTGTGCTAATTCTGAACCCGCCTTCCCCCCTCCCCCCAACCTCCCGTCTTCCCCCCCTCATTCCCCAATTGTTCATCAACACCAGGCAGAGAGCACGGACCTGATAGCCTATGGGCTCATTCCCGAGTTTGTGGGGCGGTTCCCGGTGCTCGTGGGGCTGCATGCTCTCACAGAGGAGCAGCTCGTGCAGGTAATGACTGGTGCAGGTAGGTGCAGTGCAGGTGGCAACTGGGTAGCAATCGGTGCTCGTGGGGCTGGATGCGCTCACAGAGGAGCAACTCGTGCAGGTAGGTGCAGTGCGGGTGCAGGTAGCAACTGGTGCAGGCAGGAACTGGTACTCGTGGGGTTGCATGTGCTCACAGACAGTTTGTGCTGGTAGCAACCAGGTAGTAACTGGTGCAGGTGGGTGCAGATAGGCTGGTTCCATGCAGTAGCAACTGGGTTGCAACTGGTACAGGTAGATTCAAGTGGCCACCAGTGTTCATGGGGCTGCATGGGCTCACAGAGGAGCACCCGGTGCAGGTGGCAACTGGTGCAGGTGGCAACCGGTGCAGGTGGCAACCGGTGCAGGTGGCAACCGGTGCCAATAGAAATTGAATGACGGTGCCAACTGGTGCGGGTGGCAACCAGTGCCGGTAGAAATTCAATGACCTTTTTTGTGCACCTCCATTCGAATCTAAACACAGAGCTGAGTGGCTTTCCATGCACGAGTTGACATGACATCACGTATTCCTTTCCTAATCTTCTGCCCAAATTCTCCTGCTCCTTTCCTAAACCCTGGAACCTACCCAATACCCCCTCCCCACTCTCCTGCACCTTCCCTGTACCCGTTCTCTCCTCCCAATGTGGCTCTCACTCGCAGGTTCTCTTAAAGCCCAAGAACGCGCAAGCAATTTGCAAAGCTACTGGCAATGAACAACGTGAGTGCAGTGTGGGCTGTGCAGTGTGGGCTGTGGCTTTTGCACATGAGTATAAAAAATCTCTGTTAGCAAGCAGTTCGCAAAGCTATTGGCCGCAGAACAGCACCCAGTCTTGCCTTCTTCCTTCTCCTCATGCCCTTCCAACCCTTCCCTCCAATTACTCAGGCGCGCTTGCACATGACGAAGGGCGCAGTGAGGGCCATAGCGCGCAGGGCAGCAGCGCGCAACACGGGGGCCAGGGGGCTGCGATCGCTGCTGGAGGGGCTGCTCACCGAGGCTATGTACGAGGTACGGCGGCTGCCGAGGCTGTGCATGAGGTACTGTGGTTATTGAGGCTGTTTACGAGGTATGGTGGGTGCCAAGGCTATGCACGAGATACGTTGCTCGCTCACCAAGGAGGATGTATACGAGGTAAGGTGTTTAACGAGGCTGAGTTGTAAGTACAGTGGCTGTGAAATAGTGTGTACGGTGCCCAAGGCATGAAGGTACGGTGCCAAGGCATCTAGGTACGGTGCCCAAGGCATGAAGGTATGGTGCCAAGGCATCTAGGTACGGTGCCAAGGCATCTAGGTACGGTGCCAAGGCATGAAGGTACGGTGCCAAGGCATCTAGGTACGGTGCCAAGGCATGAAGGTACGGTGCCAAGACATCTAGGTACGGTGCCACGGCATGAAGGTACGGTGCCAAGGCATCTAGGTACGGTGCCAAGGCATGAAGGTACGGTGCCAAGGCATCTAGGTACGGTGCCACGGCATGAAGGTACGGTGCCAAGGCATCTAGGTACGGTGCCAAGGCATGAAGGTACGGTGCCAAGGCATCTAGGTACGGTGCCAAGGCATGAAGATACGGTGCCAAGGCATCTAGGTACGGTGCCAAGGCATCTAGGTACGGTGCCTCGGCATGAAGGTACGGTGCCAAGGCATGTAGGTATGATGCCAAGGCACGAAGGTACGGTGCCAAGGCATGTAGGTACGGTGCCAAGGCATGTAGGTATGGTGCCAAGGCATGAAGGTACGGTGCTTGCTCCATTTCAGGCGAATGAGAATTGTTTCGGTTTGCACACTTCCATCCTTTCTACCCCATCCCTCCCCTCCCATCCAGTGATCCCTGATGTGCCCAGCACTCTAGTGGAGGAATTGGTGTCGGACAGGCATCAGAGGGGCAAGAGGGGGGCGAGAGGATAACCCGCTCTCTGCTTTCTTCCCCCTTCTCGTCCCAGCACACCTGGCTCCTAGCTCAGTTGACTTTTGAGTCGACTCACGAGTCCCCTTCTCGTCCCAGCACACCTGGCTCCTAGCTCAGTTGACTTTTGAGTCGACTCACAAGTCCCCTTCTCGTCCCAGCACACCTGGCTCCTAGCTCAGTTGACTTTTGAGTAGACTCACAAGTCCCCTTCTCTCCCAGCACACCTGGCTCCTAGCTCAGTTGACTTTTGAGTCGACTCACAAGTCCCCTTCTCGTCCCAGCACACCTGGCTCCTAGCTCAGTTGACTTTTGAGTCGACTCACAAGTCCCCTTCTCGTCCCAGCACACCTGGCTCCTAGCTCAGTTGACTTTTGAGTCGACTCACAAGTCCCCTTCTCGTCCCAGCACACCTGGCTCCTAGCTCAGTTGACTTTTGAGTCGACTCACAAGTCCCCTTCTCGTCCCAGCACACCCGGCTCCCAGCTCCCTGGTAGAGGCAGTCGTGTTGGACGAGGCATCGGTGGGGCACGCGGGGGAGGAGGGCGAGGAGGGGCCAACCTGCACCCCGTTTTCCTCTATCCATACCTGCAAACTATGCTCATTCACACTTGATTTTTCACTCCATCTCATCTCAACAGGTCCCCAGCAGTCTAGTGGAGGCAGCTGGATGAGGCGTCAGTAGGGCACGAGGGGGAGGAGGGGAATAACCTGCTCTCTTCTGTCCTCTATCTATCCCTGCGATTCACCCTCCTCTTATTCCAACCCACCAGGTCCCAAGCTCTCTGGTGGAGGCAGTGGTGTTGGACGAAGCGTCAGTGGGGCACGAGGGGGAGGAGGGGGAGGACGGTGTGCCGGGGTGTGGGGCCCACATACTGCAAGGGGAGGGCGCGTGGGAGCGGTGGTTGCAGGAGAATGAAGGGAGGGGAGAGAAGGCGGGAGGGAAGGGAGAGGAGGGCCAGGGGGGAGGAAGCAAGGGAGGCTCATCTGGGGGAGGTGGAAGTGAAGAGGAATCGGATGCAGCTCCTGCTCTTGCCACAGCCACTGCAGCTTGATCTGCCTTGTCGTCTCCTGTCGAGCACCTGTCTACCACGCTTGGACTCTGCTCAGCTCCTGCACTTGCCACAGCCACTGCAGCTTGATCCGCCATGCCACCGCATCTCCCATCCAGCATCTGTCTACTACCCCTTCTATTGTGGTGGACTGGGGGATGTCACCGTGCTAGAGCGTGCTGCTAGGTATCGGTGTATCCTTGCCACTTGGAAGGTGGGATTGCAGGATGTTTTCATCATCTGTGTGTATATGCCTCTTCTCTTCTCTCTCGCTCGGAGTTCAAACAGTTTGTCTGCCTCCGATCGCATGTTTTCCTGCAACTACTGTACTACATGTATGATGTACGTTCAAAAAATTATGAGATTATTTGTGGCTTTTTCGAAGAAACTGCAAGAATGTATGTAACAAATCATGGCCGATTGGAAGCTTGAGAAACAAAATGTTTATGACCAAATGATGATACAGTAGCACCGCTATAGCAAGTTAACTGTAGTACATGTCTGTTTATGTTAACGGCCTCTAACTGAAACTGGAAACTTCTACAGCGTGGGAATAGGTTGGAAGTTGGTGGCGGGTGGTTCGGAAGGCAGCGTTTGCTGGTGTATCGATAGTTTCAATTCAGGTGAGTAGCGGTTCAAAGCGATGAGGCATTACAAAATATATCCGACGGCTTTTCCTGGTGGGGGAGTTCTGTTCAATTTTAAAATCTGTCGTCTCAAGTTCTAAACCACTTCACAACTCCAAGATCATGGCTCTTAGCTGGACGTAGTATTTCTAGTGACGTGGTGTTTCCAGAAGCCCTCATTGACCACGTCCCACATTAACTCCGCTATCACTACGAGTACAGGCCACGACAAACAGACCAGCAAATATTTAGATACTAAAGACTTCGCAAGGCAGCCAATGAGATAGTGAGATTCATTCCTCTTAATCTCACTCTTTGACCATGCATTCGTTCAGGAATCATGGGCCGACGAAAACGGATCACCGAGGCGCAGCGGGTAACCAGCCGGCGAAATTAGATCTTGCGATCCCGGCGAAATTAGATAGTGCGATCCCAGCGATTCTCCCGTGGCACGTGCTGCTCGTTCTCTTCGTCACCGTGCAGGCCTACTCGCTCCGCACGCTAGTCGTGTATCCGCCGTCCATTTTCTCCGCATCCGACGGTTACCAGCAGCACCAACAGCAGCAGCAGCAGCAGCCGCAGCAACAGCAGCATCAGGAGCGCGAATGGTCGGAGCGCGCCGAGCCCGTTTCCGCGGCGGAGCAGGCGAAACTGGGATTGGAAGGTCCTCCGAACGGGGAGGCGGGGAGGAGCGACGGTGGATCAGAGCGGAGCGATGCGATGGGGTTGCGGGGAAGGTGGGGAAGGGTGGGGAGGATGGGGAGGATGGGGAAAGGTGGGGAGGATGGGAAGGGTGGGGAGGGTGGGGAGGGAGTGGAAGGTGGGGAGGGTGGGAAATGTACGCTGCTCTCACTCCCTTCCCTTCCACCCGTTCTCCATGTGTATGGATTCTTGACTTGTCGCTATGCCATTCGCCTTCCAAGTCGTCTCAATACGCTATTTCCTGGTACATTCAAAACAATGCTCTGACATTTGGCCCTGTCTCCCCCTCCCCGTCCCCTTTCACACCCCCCTCCCCCCCCCCACCCCCCTGCCTCTCCGCCACTTCCCCCTGCCTCTCACGCCCCCCTGCTTTCCACCCTCACTCCCCCCTTCTCCGCATTTCCCACCAAACAAATGTCAATTGTGTCTCCACCTCCTCTCACCTTTCCACCTGCCCCCCAGACACCTCCTCTCAGACCCCGGGCAGAAAAAAAAGAAGGGAGTCACAACAGCAGAGGACGTCGAGTTCTTTCTGCGCCGCCGCTTCCCCTCCTGCAAGCTGGAATACATCGGCGGGCAGCCCGGGCAGGCGAAAGAAAAAGGCGAGGGAATCGTGTGGCCCGTATGTTCTGACCACCTGCGGCCAAGAGGAGTCGTGTACTCGTTTGGAGTGGGCCCGAACCTTCTGTTTGAAGGCGAAATGACCTTGCGGGGACAGCAGGTGAGGGGAGGAGGTGGGGTGGGGTGGAGTGGGGTGGAAGAGCGGGTGGGCGGGGAATGTGAGGACGAATGAGGTTGAACCTTCTGTTTGAAGGCGAAATGACCTTGAGAGGACAGCAGGTGAGGCAGGGGTTGTGTAAGATGGGAAGGGGTATTGTGTGGTGTGATTGGATTACCTGCGTCCAAGAGGGCCCACTCGTTTGGTGTGGGCCCGAACCTTCACATTTGAATGCGAAATGACCTTGAGGGGACAGCAGGTGAGGCGGTTGTATGTGGAATGGGGGCCCCGGAAGGGGGGGAGGGAGGTAGGGGTCGAACGAACGAGCCCAGACTCCTGAGGAGGCATTATGTTCAGAGGCGTAACGTAATGCCTCTGAGAGGGCGGGGCAGGGGATGTGTGAGATGGGAAGGGGTGTTGTGTGTGTATTGTATGACCACCTGCGTCCAAGAGGAGTCGTGTACTTGTTTTGTCAACGACACCACCTTCTCCTCCCTGCTCCAGCCCATCAAGGGCCCTCCTGCAGGTGTATTTCTTCCGTCTAGGCGTCAACAGTGCCGCTTTCTCATTGCCACAATCCAATCGTTTCCCGTCCCCCCTCCCTCGTCCAGGTGTTTGTGTTCGACCCTTTCGTCAACGACACCGCCTTTGCCTCCATGCTGCAACCCATCAAGGGCCTCTCCCCCCGCCGCTCCCCCCAGTTCCGCCCCTTTGCCCTCGGGCCTCGAGACGGGGTCGCCCTCTTCCACCCCATTCCCACTTCCTCCTCTTCCTCCTCCCCCTCATTCTCTGCATCTTCTGCTGCTGCTGACACCTCCTCCTTGTCTCAAGAGACGCGGGAAGCGGCAGTGCTCCGCCTGCGCACGTTTATGTGCATGCACTCCCACCGTTGGATCGACATCCTACGGCTGGATATTGCCGGGCTCGAGCTCGATCTGTGCGAGAATGCCGCAGCAGCAGCAGCAGCAGGAGGAGGGGGAGGGGGGTTAGGAGGGGGAGATGCGTTCAGCACGAGTGTGGGAGATCTGATGCAACATGGCGCTGCAGCATTGGCCGAGAAGACCCCTGTGGGGCCCACACCAGGGAGCGTTCCTATTGGCCAGGTGGCGGTGAGGTTCCACGCTGAGCTGGCGGGGAGGGACGGGGCGAAGAGGCGGCAGAAGTGCGAGGAGACGTTTGCGGCGTGGGGGCTGAAGAAGGTGCATGTGATGGGGGATGGGAGCACCGTGCTGTTTGCTCGCACTGATGCTGCTGCTGCGTTGTAATGCACAAATGCGGGTGTGCTTGGAGTTTTGGATCGACTCTGTTGTAATTCACACATGACGGGTGGTATTATGTACAGCATTCTTCTGGCTCACCACCACACCATAGACCTTTTATTCCATACTGTCGGAGAAGAAGCTAGGGAAGAGAAGCTAGGGATTACCGTAGAAGCTAGGGATTACCTTAGAAGCTAGGGATTACCGTAGAAGCTAGGGATTACCGTAGAAGCTAGGGAAGAGAAACTAGGGAAGAGTGGTAACAAGGCATAGCGTAACACGTTTCTGTAAAACCGAGGTCTTGGGTTTTACCTGAATAACTGGGGAGAAAGGTAATTTTCTGAAAAAGAAATCCCTGGGTCCACTAGATTGCCGCTGAAGTAAGCATATATGGTACAAGATTGAACTGATAGGATGAATTATGGTAATAGAGAGGAAACACTTATCACCTACAGAGGCCTCACATTTTGTTTGAAAACGAGTCAAGGATTTTCAGCTTCTGACGGTGTCCATTTTTGTCCCTTTGGACAAGCTAGTGCTGGGTCAATACTACAGCGCAACTGGTTCGGTTGGAGTGTCGTTTTCCGACCCTGACCAGATACACTGCTTCTACGGCGTCTCTCATTACTGTACAGTACACATGATGCCCATTTCAGTCCCCTTCCCCATCTTTCCCTGTGCTCCTCTCTCGAGCATGCGTTCACTAGGGGCAGAATGGGACTGAATGTAGAACAAAGGTTGACAAAAAAACTACAGTTGCGGAAATTGTGGGTAGCCCAGCGTGTTTTGTCTGGGAAACTCGAACATCTTGGTTTTGTCGTGGGCTAGTAACGCGCGGGCCGTTGGCTGTGAATGTCGACCACTGGGCGTATGGAGTAGCAGTGACCGTGTTCAGAGTGGGCGGTTGAGTGAGCATTAGGGTGTACCAACTTTCGGGAATGCAAAGCAAATCAACATGTATACACAGTGTACACCCAGACGCAGTGCCATGTGTTGGCATCAATGACATACGCTGTCTGAGGACGCGTCAACTGCCATGCCATTTCGGAGATCGATCGTGCAGGCGATCGGTGCAGAGTGTACAGAGTTCTAACGACGTCGCCAATAGCTTGGTACAGTATCTCGTATTCGCCTGTTTTCTGTGGTCACCAAAATCGTTTCACCTGTTGAATCGCGCGATCGATGTGCCTCCAGCCAGCGACTGCGTAATTGTGGCGATCGTGAAAATTTCAACCCTGTCGTCGGTGGCTCGATGGAGCCCCGCGATTGCAAATCGGCAGTTGGGAACACGGTGATGCGATCGAACCTGGCAAGGTCGGTTTGCAGCGCCGAACCTCCCCGATCTTGACTTTTTGGTGGGAGTTGACGAGTTGGTTAGCAGATGCAAGCAGAGTTAATGCCTTACAACACAGTCAGTAACCATGTCTGTGCACTAATTCCAGAAACTGTTTTTGTAGGAAAAGATAGGAAAGCGCTCACTTTATGAATTATTTTGGCTAGCTCGGATTTGCTCGAGCGGTTTTTTGGCGGACCCTGTTTCTTCAGGGCAGTTTTCCTAGGGATCCTAGGGCTGAAGTTGAGTTCCTAGGGATCCTACTTCAGCCCTAGTTGGCATGTACGGAACGGGATTCATGTCGGTGTCAGCCAGCAGAATGCAGCTTGGGCATGCAGCTCAGCTTTGGGAAGCACGCCAGCACTGCATTGCATTCCAGCGCTTTGTAGGCAGCGGTAGTCCTATGCGGCAAAGGCGCGCTACACATCGCAAAACAGGGGGGAGGGGATCGTGTGTTGATCGAGTCTTGTTCGAATCTTCCTCGTCTTGCAGGGGTTGGGAATCATGCGAAACTCTGGCTCGCATGTTGCTTGGGAGTGTTGTTCGGGTGTTGCGTGAAATGTGAAGAGGTGCGCGTGTTTATGGAGGTTTGATGTCAACACGCAGACTCGGGTGGTCGGTTCGGTGGAAGCAATCAGTCAATCGCGCTGTTACATGTACGAAATGGTTGTAACAAACAGTGAGCTATTAGTAAAGCGTTGAAGTTAAATTTCCTGGTAAACCAGCTAGGTCTTATAATTGGTTGGTAAGGTTACGAAAGTTGGTTGCGTGTCACAAACGTAAACGTAAATGTTATTTTGATGTATAATAGTTTTTCCTTTGGTGTTTGGCGAGCATTTTGTACCTGGTACGAATGTCTTATAGCTATAATGTAATTCTATGTACCGTTCCATTTACTTCATGCAGGTGTAACAATGATGGAGTATGTAGTTGAATAAAAAAAATAGGCCAATATTTTTTTACGGGATTCACGCGAACCTGCTTATACTGGGATCTAATCCTATCTGGTTACCATGGCATATGGCGATCCACATGTCATGGAAACTCTCGACCCTTCCTGCTGATTGGGTTACATTATGGCAGCACAGCCGCTTACCCAGATGCTGCCACGTCCAGGGTTTGGACGGTGTAGAGGCAGTTTCTCGATTTTGGAGTTGGGAGCCATTCAGCGCGTCTCCGAAGAATAAATTTCGACTTCGTCTATGCTAACGAACAATCTTGACTGTAGAGAACTTCGATCGTAAGGTTCAGATTTCCCGACATGACAGAAGCAAATTTCGTAGGCGTTGCAGATAGAAATTCGGACACGCCCTACAGCTTCAATTCTCAATCCACTTCGGAGCAGAGTCACAGGGGTCGTTGGGAACCCCATCACTTTGTTGTGCCTGTTTCAATCTTTCACGGTTTTGCTCTACGCGTAGGACACTGGTTGTCTCTTCCTTGAGAAACTCCTTGCTCGTCCTCAGCACTTAGGGTGTTTCCGCCTCAGCAAACACATACCAGTCTCTGATGCGTATAGGTGTAGTCGCTACGGTGAGTTAATGTTTTTTTGTGGTCGATGGTCCTACGGCTGTTGTTTTGTCACCGTCATTCTCGTTTCATTCCCATTGAAGGAGTTTCTCATCTGATCTTAAGACCTCGTAACGTTCGATTTCTTGTCAATCTTAACCATGATAACAAACATCTACTTCGATCTGTCGCAGGATCTGCATTTGGCCAGGCAACCAGCTTACCGACATCCATCTCGTCTCGTCGTCACGCAGCAGATTGCATTCCGCCACCTGGTGATCAGATCCTTCGCGCGATAACTGCGACCTTAGCTCCAGACGCTAAGGTAAGATCGTGTTTAGGGGTGTCCTATGTTTATGGTGCGGTTGTTTTTTATATTTAACTAATGATGTTCGGCTACCATTGTATATGTAGTAATGTCACAAGTTCTCTTTGCGGCCTTGATCTTAAGCCTAAATATGTGCTTGAATACACTCTCTTGCGCTTGCAGGTCAAATTTCCAACAGCTAAACGAGCTTCCGCATCGTCATCATTAGCCACCACGCAGCAGCTTCCGTTCTGCCCTCGTCTGCAAGCGCGCTTGTCCGCCGGTACCCGACTTTTGCGCAGTAGTATAGGCAGGAGGAGTGGTAGTGGTCTCTGGCTGGTGCACAAGTGTGTGTACACTGTAAATTTATAAGGATTTTTAAATCCACCACCTGTTTGTAATGGCTGACCAGGAAGGGCACTACACTTGTGACCAGGATGGTTGTAAAGTCACTTTCCGAACCCCACTTGAGAAGGCACATCACCTTGCACATGGGCAGCACAACTATGGCTCAGCAGCGGAGAGTTCATCACGAGCTGCTGCTGGTGGAGGTGGCGATGCGGAGTATGCAGCCAGAATTCGTGAGGCTGGTCAAGCCTTAAAAAACCAGAGTCGAAAGAGGAGAAGGTCAGCAGCTGCACAAGAGGCAGATAGGGCTAGCCGTCTGCTGCCTCTGGCGGATAGCGCTCTACCAAACGTCGATACAACTGGTTACGACTTCTCTCCACGCGCTAACCCAACCGTAGTGGATTTTGATTCTCGGCTCTTCAGATTCTGTAAAACAGCAGCCGGTGGCGTGAGACTTTCACGAGCTGACACCAAGGAGTTGATCGACATCGTCATTGAAGCTCTAGAAAATCCAGGCACCGTGAATTTGAAGTCCTTAGCAGAATTCAGCAGGTATGAAGAGGCGAAGACGGCAGAGGCTGATCTGACTGGTTTTTTGAAGGTGGATTTGAGAAAAACTGGAGATTCAAAACCAATTTACCTGTATTGGAGGCCGACAATGTCGTGCATCCGTGGATTGTACCAAAATCCGGCAAATGCAGACGGTTTTGTTGTCGAGCCTGAAGTTCTACTTGAAAACGCGCGAATTATTTATAAGGGGCCTGAAACTGGTTTGTGGTGGCGCAGTGTACAGTCAAAGCTGGATAAAGGAGAGGTAGTGGCGGCGGTCATTATCTATTTCGACGAGACCACGCTGACGACAGATGGTGGTGTCGTCGGTTGGCCCGTGTACGTTTCACTGGCCAACATATCGTCGGCAAACCGTGTCAGAATGATGTAATTGTCTAGCCTGCAGTGGGGTACTCTATAGCGAGTACAACCCAATTAGGGTTTCCTATATGTATCTCAACTGCTGCTAGTGCAAAACCCCTCTTTTTGCTTCTAAACTTT